CGCCCGCCGGGCACAGGCCGGGGCGCACGCGAGTGCACACCACACGCACACACACACACACCCACGGGCACTCCCGCGCACACGCCTGCGCCCACGTGCGCACGCTCGCACACATGCACTAACCCACCGCGGAGAACTTCGCCGGCACACACTCGCAGACACACGGGCTCCCTGCGCCACCGGGAACCAGCGGCGAGAACTGCCCGGTGTTCCCCAACTCCCCGGAGACCCCGGGCCCCCGCCCCTGCCCCCGCGCCGAGCCCGCGGCGCCGGCCTCCCGGGCCGTCTCCTCGCCTCCCTCCCGGGTCTGCGGCGCCGGACCACCCGCCTGGTTGCCATGGCGACGCCTGCTCCTCCTCCTCCCCCGCCCCCCGCGCATCCTCACGCCCCTCCCCCACGGAGAGAGCGCGGGGGGAGGGAGTAGGCTGGCGGGCCCTCCCCTCCCCAGATCCGTAAGGGCGGGGCTTAGAGATCCGCAGTGACCCCGGGGTGGGCAGGTGCCGGGGATCTGGTCGGCCCGCTCTCGCTGGCCTGGGATCTGGGGGTCTCCGAGCCGGGCCCGGGAACCTCACAGTCTGAGGGAGGCGACAGGTCCGAGGCTGTGGCTTCCCCCCCACCTCCCCACGCCTCTTCTCTGTAGCCGTTCAGGCGTCTCTCCTGTGGCCCAACTCAGCCCCCAAGGGCCGGGGTCCCCTCCTTCACCCCACCCCCTGCCATCTCCAGTTCTGTCCGCCGGGTGGGGAAGGGCGTCGGGCTTCCTTCTGAACGCCCCGGAGCCTTGCAGTCCAGTCCCTCACCAGTGTGCCATTTCCCACCCGAAACCCTGCCATCTGCCTGTCAAACTCCAGCCTTGGACCTTTGCTCTTCTTTGCCCCAAACCCGCCGTCCCCCCAAAACAGAGTCCTCACAGTGGCCTTTAAGGCCCTTCGGCCCAAGACCATGTCCTCTCCGAAACGTGGCTGTCTGGCAGGAACGTTACTTGCGGTTCCTAGAACACACCTGGATCTCCGAGGCCTCTGGACCTTTGCTCACAGGACCCCCCTGGCCTGGAAGAGCTTCCCTTCCTTCGGGAGTCATCCTGGGTCACCTCTTCCTAGCAGTCTTCCTAGAGTATCCCCACCCCACCCCCTAGCTTCCAATGGGCTACCTTAGGCTCCGTTCTACCCCCTGTTTACATTTCTGTCTCCCCCACCACCAGGGAGTGCCATGGAGGCTCCCTCAAGCTGGGCCTAGCCCTCAGTTGGCACCCCGAAGTATTGTGATTTAAAAGTAAGAGAAGTGTGGTTGCACAATAATGTGAATGTACTTAACACTACTGAACCGTATGTTTGCAAATGGTTAAGATAGAAATACTATGTGTATTTTTTTAAAATACACGATTTTTTTTAAAAAAGAGAGAGAAATGCAAAGTCAAACCACACTGAGATAGCACTTATCACCTACCAGATGACAAAACTCAAAGCATCTGTTAACACACAATGTGTACAACGCTGTGGGTAAATGGGCACCATCTCTGCGGAGGCCATTCTGATGGTGGATACCAAGATGACAAATACACAGACTCTTTGACCCAGAAATTCTACTTCTAGGATTTTATCCTACAGATATGCTGGCCCATGAGCAAAATAATCAAAGTTCAGGGTTCTTTAACGCAGCATGTTTGCAATGACAAAAGACAGGAAACAACCTAAATGTCCACGAGCAGGGGATCAGTTCAATCAGTTCTGACACAATTTCAAACGGTGAAAGAGTATGCAGCCACAACAAAGAAAGAGGCCCTTGTACTTGTATGCACACACTTGTTCAGAGCCGTCTTCCCAATCGCAGCTTCACCTAAAAAAGTAAGGCGCAGAACAGTATGAATGGAATGGGGAGAAAGGAGTTTATATGTGTCCGGGTTTTTTTTTGTGCATAACTTATCCTTGGAAGGCTGCCCAAGAAAGTGGTAACTACATCAAGCTCTGAGGAGATTGCTGGAGGGTAGGGTAGGGCAAGAATAGGAAAGTCTTATTTTCTATGCTTTTGTACCCTTTGGATTTTGTACCATTCGCCTCTGTTCCCTATTCAGAAGAATACATTAAAATAATATCTATTTAAAGGCAACCGTCAGGTTTCCTTTGGGGCTATCCAGGATAAGAGAGGAGGCAGGATCAAGGGAGACCCCCATCCAGGACTAGAGCTGGTGGGTTTGGCAAGAGGCAGACGTGGGCCTGCGGGGAATGGGGGGAGCAAGCTGGCCAAGAAGTCCTGCCCTCCTCTGCTGCTGCCTGCCGGGGGCTTAGCTCAGGCCCAGCAGCACGGCTCCAGAAAGCCTTGTTGGGGCAAGGTGAGGATGAAGTGGGAGCTCGAGCCAGTTGTGGGGCAAATGGCAGACAGTGCTGAGCGCTGGCTTGTGGAAAGGTTTTTATCCATCCATTTGGCTAATAAATATTTATTGGACACCTACTATATGCTTTGGTGCAAGTCTGTGACCAAGATCAGTGATCTCTAGCTCCAGGGCCTTGTAGGGGAAAGAGACAGATACACAGACAATTCCGATGCAGTGATAGGATAGGGCATGATCCGAAGGCCATGGGAGTTGCCCTCCTGTGCCAAGTGTGGTCTCAACTGAGACTCGGAAGATAGGAGAAGTTAGCCAGTTCACGGGTGGGGGGCAAGGTGTCCTAGGCACAGGTGTGTGCAAAGACTGGAGTGTGCTGAGCGAGGGGGGCCGTGTTAAGAACTGAGGTGGGTGGGTGGATGGGGCTGGGCAAGAGGCTTGCAGCTCAGGGTGAGGTGTTCATAATCACACAGGCACCAGGGGAAGCCATTGGAGGGTTTTAAGTCATGGAGGGCTGAGCGTTCTTCTCTCTGTTCTCCTCGAGGGAGGAGTGAACAGAGAGAAGTCCCCCGGTCCACAGGCTGTCGAAATACCAGGGGAGGAATGGGGTTGACTTGAAAGAGTGGCAGCAATGGAGCTGCCAGGGAGGCGGATGGATTTGAGATTTATGTTGGAAATTGAGCCAACAGGTCTTGATGACGGCTCTGTCAGGAGACAGAGAGGAAGAGCGTTGGGATGACTCCTGGGTGTTGGTGTGGAGCAGAGCATCTCAAGGAATGGTGAGACCCCTTTGCGGCGAAGGAAAGCAGGAGCTCAGTTTGGGATAGGAGAACCAAGAGCTCCATTTGGGATCTACTGAGTTGGAGATGGTTTTGGACATAAAGAGACACGAAGCAGGAAGCTGGGTAGAGGAGTCTGGAGCTCAGAGGAGAGGACTAGGCTTGAAATATACATTTGTGAGTCACCAGCATATAGATGGTATTTAAAGCCATGAGACTGAATGAGATCACCTAGGGAGAGAGAATATAGACAGAAAAGAGAAGGTCCAAGGCTGAGCTGGCTGGAGAAGGGGGGGACCCTGAAAATGGGCGAGCATGGCTCCCACGCCAAGAGGCAGGGGCATGTGCGCGCTGCTGCGAGACAGACGGACTGAGCAGAAGTAACCATTAGATTTGGCAAGTTAAGAGGTCATTGGTAGACTTGGCAAAAGTGGCTTCAGTGGAGCGGTGAGGACGAAGCTAGGTCGTTAAAGGTGAGGGAGCAGAGACAGCAAGTGTAGACAGCCCCTTAGGGGTTATCTGTCTATAATGATGTGCATCCAAGAGTTCTTTCCCCTGTGATCCCTGAGGGCAGAGACCGTGCCCTGGTGATTTCTCTCTAAGCCATAAATGGAGCCTGGCACAGAGCAGGGGCTCAATGCATGTACTTAATGATTGGATGAATAAATGAATGAGAAGTCACTGCGTGTGTCAAAGGAGCCTTTTCTGGGGGACAGGGCAGCTGCATCCTTTTGGGGCGAGTGAGGAAATGGCAAGATCCACTCCAACGGCTAAAGGCTCTGGACCCCTTCCCGCGGCTAAACGGTGGCAGCAGCCTCAGACAGGCCTGGGCTGGGAACCCTGGCCCGGGGTCAGGAGCCGGACTCCTAGCTGCTCCTCACGTGCCTGACTTCGGCTAAGTCACTTCCTCTTTCCCAGAAGAGAGAAGTGTAGGGGATAGGGGCCCACAGGAGGTCCCGTAGATGTTAGTCTGTCTCCTTTCCCCTCATTTTCTCCTCCCTGAGCTTTACCGTTTAGGAAATAGAAGCTGAGCAGGGCAAGGACCTCCCCAGGGGCTACTGTGAGGACGCTTGAGAGGGTAGCCCCTGAGGGCAAGAAAGAGGAGGGGTGGGGACCCAGGGGAGGAGGGCGCCTCCATCATAGGACAGAGGACCTCCCAACATGCCACAGACACATGCCTGATTTGGGGGAAGTCACAGAACCGGGACTGCCGGAGACTCTTGAACAGGCATCTGTGTAATCAAACCAAGAAGACCCTGAACTGTCCTTGGGCTTGGGTGGGGCGGGACACATCTGTGACAGACAGGCCCTCCTGCCAATCAGAGGAGAGCTAACTCTTGGAGGTCCGCAGGATTGACAGTGGTTGTTGGGAAGGGACAAATAGAGAAAAGCAGGGATTGGAAATGGGAAATGGGATGGCCCTTGGGGGAGCCCACCCGGAGAGAGGAGCCTGCGAGGGCGCTGTGGGTGACCAAGAGACAGGCCTCGAGATGGGCGGGGCCTTTCCTCTGACAATCCCCGTGCCTGCCGTTCCCGCAGCGGTACCTTTTCCTGCAGCACCTGCGGGAAGAGGCGGGAGGAGGGCTTGGAGGAGCGGGAGCGGTGCCCTCGCGGGTGGGAGGGAAACAGGCACCCGTGAGCACTGCTGCCACCTAGTGGGAAACGCCTGTTATTTCTCCCGGCTCCCAACCCCAGGGTCGTCCTCAGCTGAGCACTAAGGGACGTGAATTTGGGGACCCAAAGCAGGGGGAGCCTCAGAGAGGAAAATGCACAGCCCTGGGAAGTGTGCGTCGCCCACATTACTTTGCCCCTCTGCGCCTTGGTTCCCTTGTCTGTGTAATGAGGACAGGCTAGCTGTGATGGGTAAGGGAGGCCATGCAGAGAGTGGATTCCGGGGGTAACTGGAGGTGTTTCTCCCTGCCCCCCACCCCAGGAAAGACCGTGTTGCTCTACAAAGGCAGCTCTCCTTAGTCCCAGCTTCCAGCAGGCTTGCCCCCAAGTCCTTCCTATTTCTAAATGTTGGCGCTGCCCCTATTACTGTTTTATCATTGACATCACCCCAATCAAAGGATGAAGGCCCTGGGGGAGATGAGGGGGTGGTCCCAAAGTGTCCTCTTCTGACGTGGGGACTTGGGGGGAAGTTCCCAGCTCCCAGCACTTTCTCTCTCCCCTCACCCCAGGGCTTATGCTCACGATGGCCCCAGGCTGTGACATCACAGAGCCCCCACCCCTGTCACAGGAGTGGAAGGGTCATGAGGCTGTGGCAGTGGGCGCGGGCATGGGTGTGGCTGGTTGGGCTGGGGGCCGTAGAAACAGGTGGGAAGCTGTCCTGGCAGCGGTGGGGAGGAGAAGTCTTGGGGTGAAGGGTCAATCTGCCTTAGGAGCTGGGAGGCCAAGCAAGGGCCTGCCTCTCCCTGCCCGTCTCTCCCCCCCACCCCCCCACCCCACATCCAGCAGGGGCCTTCGCATGGAGATCTCAGTTGATCCTTAAGACGTTCCTGGAACAAAATCAAACCCCTTCCCAGCCACACTAAGGCTGTGTGGCCTGGCAGGGTCCTGGGTCAGCCACAGCCTCCTGGGGTAGAGGGCAGGGGTCTGCTTGATTCTTGACATAGACTTTGCTCCCTAGCACCCAGCCGGGAGCGGGCCAGCACCTCGGTCCGGGGAGCAGGGTCTCTGCTCTTCATAGACAGACCCGACTTCTTTGATTACCCAGACTCAGACCAAGCCAGGCTCCTGGCTGTGGCCCAGTTTATTGGAGAGAAACCTGTCATCTTTGTTAACTCAGGTATGAACCCACTTGAGAAGGGGCCTCCTTCCTTGCCAGGGCCTGGAGAAGAGCTGCCCTTGGCCCTTCCATTGGAGAGGAGGCAGGATCCCCATCTTCCCCTCCTTGTCTAACAGGATCCAACTCCGAGTTCTTCCATCACATCCTGGTGGGCGCTCTGGTAGTAGCCTTCCTCTTCCTCCTTTACCAGTTCTGCACACACATGTAAGGCCCCCCTTTCCCGGGTCCCTCCCACCTCAGCCTGCCTTGGGAGAGGCTGAAGGACCCAAAAGCCTAAGGAGGCAGGGTGTGGCCTCCCACTTCTGATCTCATATCCCATAGGAGCTGCCAGAAAGGGGCCTGAGGAGCCGGACAAGGGCCCTGGACTCTGCCCTCAGTGCCCAAACCCGCCCTCCTCTCCTGCTGAGGAATAAAAGTCTGCTTTTTTCTTGCCTGACTGCTTGGATAACCAGGCAGGGGGTCCTGCCCCATCCCGGGGTCCTGGGGCCATCTGTGCTTTCTACCCCCAGACCCCCACCCTTCCCCGCACCAAAGAACTGGGTGAAGAGGGCCTTGGTGGCGTTCACGCAGATCAGATCGTCTTTATTAGCGGTCTGGAAAGCACCTCCCAGGGTCCCCTGACCCCAGACTGGAGGAAGCCTTGAGAGGTCTGTAGCACCAGGGACATGCCGGGGCCCGAGGGCAAGATGTGCAGCCTAGTGGGGAAGGGACGGGGTGCCCCCTCACCTGCCCCCGGGATTGCTCAGCACTGGGAAGGTTGGGGGTAGCAGCCACCTCCCTCCCCCCACCCCCACAGACTAGTATGGATTTGGGCGAATAAATAAAATAAATAAGATCCCTCAGGCTGGCCTCCCTGAGAGAGAGGAGCAGTGGAGGCAGCTAGCCCCAAGCAAGGCCTGCGGGGGCGGGGGGGGGGAGGGTTAGTTAGGGTATCCCCTCCCTCTCAGATGGTGCGGAACCGAGGGGAGTCTGCAGCAGGGGAACAGGCTGGGATGGCCTTGGCAGCAGGGCCTCCCCCACATCCTCGGAGTCCTGGTCCCCTTGAGTCAGTTTCCCCATGGCCGTCTAGCCCTCAGTGGATGGGAAGTGATGCCCCTTTCCTCTGTCCTTTGCATCCCCAGGGCCCCAGGGTTGGTGATGGGAGAAGGGGTGCGCAGGAAGGGGTTCGCTACCTTCAGCTCAGGCACTGCTGGGAGAAGAGGCACCCCCTCCCTGCCTTTCACCGGCTCCCTGCCCCTCAGCCCGGGAGCAGAGATGTCCCGCCCCTTTGCAGTGCACCTGTTGTCGGTCCTGGGGCCGCCAGGGCAAGAGGGCCCTGGCTCCCACCTCCTGCCGGGCAGCCCCAGAGCCCCGTCCCCAAGGTATGGGGAGGGGGGGGGTGGAGGGTCCCCCGGCCCCACCCTCAGTCCTGGGTCTGACAAGGAGAGGGCGGCGTGGAGCCCCGGGGCCGGAAGAGGCGGCAGGCCCCGCGGCAGATGAGGAAGAACCAGTAGAGCTGGGGGGCCAGGAGCAGCGCGGCGCCCAGGTTGACGTGGGCCGGGATGGCGAGGGGCACGGCGAGCAGCGGCAGGCCGGCGTGGCGCCCGTAGGCCCAGTACAGGTAGGGGAAGAGCAGCACCCGGCAGCAGAGGAAGCTGATCAGCATCAGGGCCCCGTTCACCTTGTGCAGCAGAGTGTGCTGTCGCTTGTACTGCGGTGGGTGGGCGGGGCGGTCAGAGGGCAGGGGGGCGGGGCGCAGAGCAGGGTGGGGGCGGGCAACTCCGACGCCCCTCCCCTCCGCGGCCCCCTGCGCCCCGCCTCCCCTGACCCGGGCCCGGCCCGCTAAAGAATCCCTGAAGGGGGCGCCTGGGTGGCTCAGTTGGTTGGGCGACTGCCTTCGGCTCAGGTCATGATCCTGGAGTCCCTGGATCGAGTCCCGCATCGGGCTCCCTGCT